GCCGCCTAATTGTCTTTGCCCCCCCCCCACCCAAGCCAACGGTGCGCGTCTACCGCCCTGACGTTAACCCTTCTCTGGGTTACACCTTGCTTTCATTCATTTTCACAACTGTGATCACAGAAACAGCAACGGCTGAGGAAATGGCCCCGACGAATGATCTAACCTGCAGTCTGCACTCTACATAGCTCTCTTCAATGCACTCTATAAAAGTGTTTATCCAATGAGATGAGGTCTCAAAAGAAATGGATATTGCGCCGCTCCTGACGCGAAGCGTTCGGCGAGAAAATAATTTGATCTCCCGGAGGAAAAGAAAATAAGAACGGAAAGGCGAAGAGATGTAGCACGACGTACGACACCGCGGAGAGGATATGGAGAGAAGAGAAGAGAAGAATATTACACTTTCTATCAAATTTAAAGCTATTGACCCATGCATATATCCCTAGTGGCCTGCAGCAGCAAAGATGGTTCTGAACAAAACCACACGTAATGGACTTGCAAAATGTAGCATGCACACTGCTGTAGAACAACACATTAAATTCTCTCGTATAACACTGCCATAAACGACATATTTTAAGAAAAACAATCCTTAAAACACAGTACTTTACATACCTATAATATCAAAGAAGTTCCATAATGCAACATGTAAATAAGAAATGGAAGGAAGTCCCTTTCTTGGAGATTGATGACGCATATATCGAAAGATCAATACGAGACATAAATCGTTAAGCGCAATATGAAAATAGGCGTCGTATAACAATCAAGTATTTCTATTTTTCAGTCAAAATAGAAACTTTTTCATTGTTTTTTGGATTTTTCTAAGTGACGGACACAAAAGGGGATTCAATGAAATAATGGACACCTCCCACATCGCCGGAGTGGGCGACGCTTCCATTCGCTGCACCTGCGCGTTGGAGAGAAGTAATACAGTCACTCCCTGAAGAGGGCATTCAAGGTCGTCGCATTAACTGAAAATTAAATTGAAATAAGGGCTTATTTCCCCTTCTTTTGCCTACGTATAAGAGCATAATCAAAGAAATATATATATATATATATATATATATATATATATATATATATATATATATATATACATATACATATATACAGGAAAGCACTTTATTTTCCCTCCAAAAAATGAATCAAATTGTGTGTTTTATTTAGAAGGTTTTTCGTGATATATGTTAGAAACTTATTAGAGTTATATTTGTATTTGCACCAATGATTTCCAAAGTGTTGTTCGTTTGGTATAGCAGGTCCATTTTTGAGATATTGTTAATGTTGTAACAATGTGTATTCTCGTTTCTTAAAAGTATTTATATATTTATAAAAATACTATAACTACTTGTGGTGATTTAATTTTGCAATTTATGTTATCATTTGTGAATTAAAATTCGACAAAACCAATAACGTCGCCAAAGATAATCATAAAAATGTTAATATACTTACATGTCGTTTGGAATGTGCCACGATTGTGTTTTCCTCTTTCTACATATACAATGTGTTGTAGCAACAATGTGGTGTCTAACAACAGATGAAACTACTGGTGCTACAACAGCTCGTGAATTGTGTCTACGCAATATTGTAGTACCACATGATCCTTGTCTCGAACTAACAATTTTTTCTTGCGCGGAGATTCGAACTCAACTCCATTCAGTCAACATTCAGGCATGTTATGCTTACACCACCATTCAAACAGTTGTACTCGGACCTCTTGCTGCTTAAAAAAACAGGCAGTGACTCATATTTATGCAATTTTGGAAAATTCAGATTTAACGAATATGATAGCAGCGCAGCGCCAGTTTAGAGAGACCATTACTGTATCCGAAGAAACAAATTAAAGAATAAATTTGGAACCTATTTTGAAAAATGTGTATACATTTTATTAATTTCGACAAAAATTACGCGAAAACGTCTTGTATTTTCAAAATAATGTACACATTTCTTAAGATTTATTTCTTAGAATAGAATTCATTTAATACAAATTTTTTATCACAATATTGTACTTTGGCAATAGTATGAGTGCGTTCAGATGGATGAGGGAATATCAGTTTCGGAGAAAATCGTCTGAACGGTTAAGGAGGATGATTCCCATTTGTGATTGGAAACATAAATACTGAAGTCTCAGCATACGTGTTAAAAACTTGAAGAGTATCTACAGCGGTCGCAAATTATAACGTTTTGCCAATGAATGAGAATGACATTTGCCCATGATTGTTAGGCAACTGCTTGCACTGGAGTTCGGCAGGTACATGTAATCTCTGATTTCGTCAGAACGTGACTTTCAGAACATTAATCAATGGAACGCTGCCTAATATCCACGGGCAAATGGCACATGCGTGATTGCGTTATTTGAACTTTTCAACCCCTCCGATACAATGGAAGTTTCTACATTTATCTGTAGATCTTTAGAATATTGTAAATGCATTTCTGGGGCTCAAGCACGTTTTCCACCAGTCTGAACGAAATACACAATATCCGCATATCCCTTTCCAAACATGCATGTGTGGCGTCGTTAACACGAGGGCCAGAACCGCTAGGTCGGTGAAAGTGCACTGCGGGGGAGGAAGGGGTTAAGCCTGAACTTCCGGGAGTTTGCGCTCTGGCGGTTGACTCGGGTAGGGCTGCAGAGCCAAAAATAACCTTAGGCTGTAAACTCCTAGGATGCTAGCCAGCGAGCCCTTCGCCTTACCGACAGGCAAGGCGAGCCCAACCTGGGAATTGTTGCGTATGGGGGCGTACCCCCTCCCAAGCATGCTGGCCAGCGAGCGCCCTCGCTTGCCGACAGCAAGCGAGGCCTATCTATGGAACAAGTGGTGGGGGTGTCAGCCTCAAACCATTGTTAACCGGCGCGCCATCTGCGCCCGCGTTCTTATTCAGTTTTTGACCTCGAGGGCAGCGTTGTACATGTAAGTTACAAGAGTGTAGGAGTGTGCCGCGAGATGTCGGAGGAGTAAGGGGCCAGACGATCGGTCGGCGTGCTGTAGGCACGGTCGCCACGACCCGGTTTTAAATTTTGGCGTCAGGGCCATGGACGGTACATTCAGCGGAACGGTAAGTCCGACAGCTCGCCATCACGCCGGTGGCTTTTATTTTTTCTGCGGTTAAAGCAGGCGTACGGAAGGAAAAGGTTGCCGGCAGTGTTTAATATTTACGCATTTTTGTGAACTTGTTCAATAATGCTTCTTAATATACTTTTTTTTATTTTGTTAATGAATTTATTTCTCATTTCACTACATCACACATGCCTAATGCCAGCACCCGGGAAGCTAGGACGATAGGAATCCCGACGAACGGCCCTGCAGTCGGGGCGGCAAACGCCGTCTGCCACGCGGCCAGGGCCGGCCAACACGAGACGGAAAGTCAACCGATCGGTTGCGCGAGTGTGCGCTGGGCGCGCTGCTCGCGCGGGGCGTGCGTGCGGGGGCGGGGAGGTGGAGGGGGCGAAGCACGGCGCGCGCGGAGACGGAAAGGAGTTGGACGGACTCGTCCACGTCCAATCCGCCGCAACTGCCTTCCCGACGCCGCGCGGGCGCCGATGCGATGCGATGCGATGCGATGCGATGCGATGCGATGCGATGGACGTCTGCACAGCTGTGCCGGCGGCTAGTCCCACTCCAGAGAGGCCTCGGACGAGAAAATCACACGGGAAAATAGCAGCATCGAGGCTGATTCGGGGTGAGGTCCCTGGGTGAGCCGTGGTGAGCCCACTGGCTTTCCCCTTTGGATACCAGACTTCAAATCTCCGCCGATCCACATAGAATTTGCGGGGGAAACGGATTCGCTGCAGTAACACGATTGTCCCTACGGGGTCAGAACAATCGAAAACTGGTGAGAAATAGATTTCACAGACGCATGAAGGGACTGTCAACTGTATGCGCAGTCTGGCCGTTTGTGGCTCGGAAAAAAATACGCAAGAACCTGCTAAACGTTTTCAGTCACATTTTCACTCAAACTGTGAAATGAACAAAATTAATTTGTTCACCTTTACTTATAACAAAGTTGTCGAGGATATGCGTTGTCAGGGAAACATGGGTTCGAAAGAAAAGACTGCCACCATAATGGCGCTAACTTGTGAAGGATAACTTTTATCAGTTCTAAAAGATCAGAATTAAAATGTCTTGAGTTGAGAAGTTCTTCAATTACATTTTAAGCTATAAAATGAGTTATGTGTTATCCTCTACTAAATCAGAATTGAGACTAATGTTCTTACTGCCTCGTGATTCCATGTCGTTCCTATTCCTCGTTTTTTGTTTGATTCTATTTGTTAGATTCTCATATTTCTTGCGAGTCTGGCTAAAAAAATTGACCAAGCAGTGCAAACTACATAGCGAAAAATGCTGTAACAAAGAAAGAATAGACTGATTGAGGCGTGAACTGGGTCGGTTATTTCTTTTATTAAAGGTTGTGATAGAATATTAGCAATGAGAATGTTTAGGGATTCTTGCGGTCAGCCATCAAGCTCTGTTACAAAAATCTACCCAAATGTCTCACATTTACGATTTTGCAATAACAATAGTTAATTATTAACAATAACTGTTAACAATAACAATAGTTTGGGAGGTTTATTGACTGCATTATTGTGTTGTGTTCTGGGTGCAATTAAGATTAGTTGAGGGTTTTGAAACGAGGTGTAGCTAGACGGCATGGTTTGAGTGTCGTTGACACTGAAAATTGAATGACGGCCAAATGTCTGTCTGTCCGTCCGTCTATCCGGACCACGCTAGTGGGTAAACAAGACAGACGATTTTCTCAAATATAGATGTTCCCCACTCGATATAGGTCCTATTGTGGCCCCTTGAATTTGAAACATATTTAAAGTTGGGGGTATTTCACATGAAGTCTCTGGGTTTTAGAGCAAGAATTTGTTTTTATGGAACAAGATTGATCCACTTTTTCGTTTACACGGTCCCGCAATCAGTTTTTCTCTGTGGAAAATTCACCGTTTTCCGGCGCATGATTGCAATACTTTCTCTTCTTGCGAAATAAGAGCGAGAAATTAAAAGTCGTCTATGAAACTCGATGCAATTGGTGGGATACACTTGTTTGTTCACGATACTTGGTTTTTCTTCGCTCGTATAGTAATATCACATTACACACTGTGTTAATAACCATCATTACGTCATCGTTTTATAATATACGATTTCAGTCGTGATTGACAATAGCGATTGTGGTTGTGCTTTCACAGGCGGGCGTTGAAAGGACGGGAAAGCTTTTGGATGGTCTGCTTTGAGAGTGTAGGAGTAGAGTGAAGAGGATTAGTTGCCATGTCACGGAAGGGTATCAAAGTGGGCGGTAAAAATGAAAAAAAAAAATGGGCCCAGACAAGTGTAAAGCTGTTTGCTAAATTAATATATTTTAAATTAAGTATATTAAATTTGTTACGTATTTGCTTTTAAAAAATGAAAGCTAGTATTTTTTATTTACGAGTTGCATCATGGAAGAGAAACTTCTTGATATTTTTGGTTTCTATTATAATTCTATTATAATCTCTAGCATTCGTTTAGACTGTTTTTATTAAAACATTTTATTTATTTTGGGGTTGTGCGGATGTATTTTAGTTAATGTTCTTGGAAAGTGTTCGGGTACGTGTTGAAAAATCATGTTCTGTTGTTCTGCTCCACAGCATTTTGGGTGACGCAGCTACGCTTCTACCGACGTCGCGCCACGATATCGACTGCCGCAGCCCCACCCGCGCCTGCTTCGAGGCCTTCTGCCTTGAGCCTTGCGACTTGAGCCCTCAGCCTTCAGCCTTCCGGCTCGGCGCCGGAATACCGCGGGAGACATCTGCTTACGATCTGCCTGCTTCTGCGATTCTGACAGGTCCCCGCCCGCCTCGGCTCTGCACAACGGCGCCGCCCATCTTGGCGAGCGTTACGCCGCGCTTTACGACCGCGGAAGCCAGTCACCCGTCCGCGCCCCCATCCACGCCTCCGCCTCGCCACACTAGCGAGAGAGCTAGGTCAAATCCAGTCGCTGCCCGGACAAGAAGGTGAGAGGCCGGCTGTTCTGATCGGTAGGTTCTCCCGGTTTCTTATATTCATACTAGGTGAATGCCGAACAGTACCCTAATAAACGGGCTGTGAACCGCGCGCGATTTTCCTTCTTCCTTGAACTTTTCTCTCCCGTTGCGCCCTCTCTTGTCGGGAGAGCTGCCGCGAGCTGCTAAGGTGCTATCCGGAGGGGAAATCCCCCCAATCCCACGTGCAGGCCAGCGGCGAGGAGGAACACCGCCCTTCTCGGAATGGAACATTCACTACACTGGCGGGACTAACGTCCATGCTAGTCGAGTGCCCGGTAAACATCGATCAATCATTCAATCGTCAATCATGGCAGGCCGCGCCGCAAAGTCCTGCGCAGACGCAAGCCGCTACTAGCCCGTGACGGAAAGCGCGTGTGTGACACGCACCATGCGTGCATCCGAGTCATGAAGCAGCAAAACGTTTCCAATCTCCCCATTCACGCACTCGTCCGCAAATTTTCGTTCTGGGCGCGCCGAAGAATTTCTCCCGCGTCTTTTCAAGAACAACGAATTTTGACGACTTTGCTGAGTAACGCATGGATTTCAAAATTATTAAACCTCTAACGCAGAAAAGGGGTCTCTTGGGCTCAGTTTCTAATTTACTTCAACATTTCTCGAGAAGTGCTTTATCTCGAGGAATGGTCATCACCGTATTCTTCCATCGCTTTCTTTCCGAACGTTCATTGTTCATTCTCGAAATATTTACAAAAGTATAAACTGGTTTATTAAAACTGTCAAAACCAGGACCTTTGTGTCCGTGCAGGCGCGCCGCGAGAGAAGAACGTTTTGGAAGGACATTTATTGAAATATATCAAATACTTCGTTATCCTATCAAGATATGACACTATATAAGTAGATTGTATGATATTCTTTTACCTAGCGGGTATTGTGAATGAAATGATAACATGTTCTTCCGATAAACCGGGAGTGAGTTACATATTTTTTGCTCATTTCTTTCTTTCTTTTATTCATTCTTTCTTTTTTTTTCCTTTCTTTCCACTGAGATTATGCGTCACTTTGATTAATTCAGTTACAATGCTGAGAAAATGGTGCGTCCAGCATCTTTCAAAACGAAGAGAGAGAGAAAAGTTATTGAAACGAATTTGAAGACACTTCTACAGACACAATGATAGTGAATAATGGTTTTTATTGAAGTTCATTGTAAAGTGTAGAATATCTTTACAATGTTTCCTCCCCTCACAGAAAACAACCCTTAAAACCACAATGTAAAGGAAGATTTTCCTTTGCTTCAAATGAAAGAAGAAATAGCTCTACAATCGCTGAAGTTGTGGGTTGGGATGGAATTAGAAAAACATAGCGGAATAATTTTAGGACTGAAGAGTTCGATACGTTCATGAATTTGTACGTAGCAATAAATATATTATAATGATCAGTTCCTGGAATAATTTGAGGATTGAAGAGTTAGAAATGTTCATGAATTTGTACGTAGCAATAAATATATTGAAATGTTTCAATAACCCATTTATTTGAAGGAGGGCATAAACGTAAGATAGGAAGACATAACTATTTCTACTCTTGGATGCAATACGAACAGAAGAACAAAGGTTGAAAACAGAATAATGATCCCTCTGCAGATACATGTTTACGGAGAACTGAAAGAATGCGAATGATCATAGAGAGCACGCCGTTGTAGACTGATAACTTGGAATCTTTCGCGGAGGAAACATTTTGTTATGCAGATGCCAGAAAAACAAGCAAATTATAAAACCAAAATAGATTGCGTTTGTGCATATAATTGTGGATATGCCATTAATGGTATAATATATACGAAACATTATAATCAATGTGTGTGAATATTCCTGCGCTACCTGCAAGAGAATCGGTCCCGCGTTTTCATTGATTTCTCGGATCAACACCACTCGAATACCGGAGTAGTGCCCAAGCAAACGGGTGACGCACGATATTTCATTCCTCTTTCATGTTCTATCCGCGCTCCTTACCACGGATGATGTGTAGTTTGGTGCCGGATCTCGCCATCCCCCGGAGATTACCGCTACCTACAGCGATCATAACATGCATTACACTTGCTGGGCTGAGTGCGAAGCTGAGGTCAGGCTAGAGGGCAAGGCAGACGGGGCGCTGAGAGCGCGGTGCTGAGATGAGGGTAGGGCTGAGGACGGGTGTGAGGCGGGGCGGAGCTTAAAACGAGATCTAGGGCAGGGCAAAGAGCTTGGCTGAAGGAAGGGATGAGTGCGAGACTAATGGCGAGCTGACGCGGAGCTGACGCGAGCTGACGCGCGGAGCTGACGGCGGAGCTGACGCGGAGCTGACGGCGAGCTGACGGCGAGCTGACGCGGAGCTGAACGGCGAGTGACGGCGGAAGCTGACGCGGAGCTGACGGCGGAGCTGACGGCGGAGCTACGGCGGAGCTGACGGCGGAGCTGACGGCGGAGCTACGGGACTGACGGCGTGGAGCTGACGGCTGGAGCTTGACGCGGAGCTGCGGCGGAGCTGACCGGCGGAGCTGACGGCGGGCTGACGCGGAGGCTGACGGCGGGAGCTGACGGGCGAGCTGAGGCTGACGCGAGCTGACGGCGGAGCTGGACGAGCGGAGCTGACGGCGGAGCTGACCAGCTGCGGGAGCTGACGGCGGAGCTGAGCGGAGCTGCCGGAGCTGACGCGGAGCTAGAGCTGAGGCGGAGCTTGACGGCGGAGCTGACGCGAGGACGCGGAGCTGATCGGCGGAGCTGACGGCGGAGCTGACGGCGGAAGCTGAACGCGGGCTGGGTCGGAGTCTGACGGCGGAGCTGACGGCGGGCCCTGACGGCGGAGCTGAACGGCGTAAGCTGACGGGGCGGAGCTCGCGACTGGCGGAGCTGGGACGCGGCGGAGCTGAACGGCGGAAGCTGACGGCGGAGCTCGGCACTGAGACGGGCGACTGACAGTGCGGCGGAGCTGAGCGGCGAGCAGCTGGGCGACTGACGCGAGCTGGACGGCGGAGCTGACGGCGACTGACCGGAAGCTGGCGAGGCACCGATGACGGCGGAGCTGACGCGGAGCGAACGGCGGAGCTGACGCGGAGCTGACGGCGGAGCTGACGGCGGAGATGACGGCGGAGCTGACGGCGGAGCTGACGGCGGAGCTGGACGGCGGAGCTGACGGCGGAGCTGACGGCGGAGCTGCATCGGCAAAGTGCGGCGGGAGCTGACGGCGGCGGAGCTGACGCGCGGGCTGACGGACGGAGGCTGACGCAGAGCGCTACGAAGGACATGAGCAGGGGCTGACGGCGGGGCTGACGGCGGGGCTGACCGGCGGGCTGACCGGCTAAGAGCGGGCTAGACGGCGGGGCTGACGAGGGGCTGTGGCGGGCGTGAGAGTGCGCGCTCAGAGCGGAGTGCTGCCTTCCGCTGAGGGGCGGAAGCTGAAAATCTCGTGGCCGTTCGACAGGGTACTGCTGCAGCATATGGGTAAAAAGGATCGAAGAAATCTCGGAAAAGATGATAAGGGAAGCCGAGACCGCCAGTATTTTCCCCGGACAGCGACGGAATTGTCGATCAGCATATAGGTAGTACAGACGAAGCTTGGAGACAAGATGGGAATGCTGCGAAACTGGACCCTATTAACTCCGCGAGAGAATACTATCTAGCCACCACACGGTCGAGTAATCCCGCTACCGTCAAGGATGGGCTACGCATGAGAGACGCAAAGCTAAGACACCACTCGCGCAGCGTCGTTGTGCTGCAGCCGCAAGGAGGCAGGGCAGGCGCGGGGCGAGCGGAAGCGGACAAAGGAGCTCGGGGCAGCAGAGAAATCACGGCGCACGCCGGGCGTCAGGGCCAGACAATCCGCTCCAGGCCGGCGCCCCTCTCCCTTTACGTCGCCGGGACCCGGACGACACCCGCAGCCCCCGCCCCGCCCCGCCGCCCGCGACCCGCACGCCCGCCCCGCCCGCGCCAGGGAACTCTCCGTTGACTAAATCAAAATCAAATGAAGCGCTGGCGCTTCGCCGCGCCCCTCTAATTTCATCTAGGCGGGCAGGGGCAGCGGTTAAAGTACTCAACTTGACCGCAGACGACTCACCAGAGGAAAGCACCGGCCAAGAAAGCACAGCTGATGGAGAGAGAGAGAGAGAGAGAACAGAGAGACGAGAAGAGAGAGATGGCGAGAGGAGAGAGGGGAGAAGGGGAAGCAGAAGACGCCGGAAGGCTCACGTGCGTCGCGGCGAGGACGAGAATGGGAAGTAGAACGAAGAGCTACTCCCTCGGAGGACCGGGGCGTGTGGTGGTGGAAGATAGGAGAGATAATAAAGAACGCCAGAAAAATTGCGTTGGAGGGTTGTGCAGGGAGGCCCAGAAAGGTGTTACGACGCAAAAGGTTCGCCGGATTACCGAAAGATGGCGCGCTTCCAGCAGCGAGTGATATCTGGAAAACGAAGGCGAACGAGCATATAAGGAATGACGAACAACGAGAAGGGGCAACAAGGAGCCCAGGGACGAAGGCCGCGTGCACGTCACAAATGACCGAGATGACGCTTTAAGGCATTGGTTACCACTTAGTTGCAAAACTGAAAACAAATACAGTTTGATTTACCGACGAGATATTTTCTTAATTATAGAAGCGGAACATTTTTTTCAAATGATTCAAATTACATTCCCTTTGTTCGTACTCATATTTATCAATTGAAATAATGTAACTTAAAAGTAGAAGTAGAGCATTGAACTCCCAAAAAACGTGACTAAAAACTTCTCCTTCATGCACTTACACGTTTTTTATGGGTTCGACCGAAACAATCAAATTCAAAACAGCGTAAAACACCAGTAAAAAATTAAACCAGCGTCTCCAAATACAATCCCTAATATTATACATTAAAAGATTGGGCTGTTATTTAAGTAAATCGCAAGAGTATACCAGCCTATTCCAATATATGTATACAATTATAGACATTGATATCTATTCGATATTTGACAGCATAGTCTTGTTTAGAAGCTTATTATTATATCTATATAAAAACTCTCATGATGAATAAGTTCATGACTTTGTGTATAATTAAAATTATAGAATTTCTAGTATACCATTTATAAGCAACACGAGAATCTGATAGCACTGATGAATGTGATGGATAGTAGACAAGCCTTATCGTATCGAATCAAACTGCTATATGGGCACAGATAAAAAAAATATACTAGTTACTACGATACACATTCACTCAAAGAGCGTACGGTGGATATTAATAACCGATGATATAACTAGTTATTGGAAATAAAATTGACATTTCATGAATGGATAAAGTGATTTCAAAACACTCTAGCAACATACATAATCTTGTAGCTCTAAAACAAATAGAACAGATAACAGTGATCATTAGAAATTCTTCCCTTAAAAAAATACACCAAATCTGATCGACAAAAGGCTGCCAAAATAATTAAGAAACGAAAGCCGTTCAACTCTGCCAGAACAAATCAACGATCGCACAATTTACGATAATTTGATTCCAAAGTATAACGTTCATGTATTCTATTACAAAGTCCTCTTTAATCGTAATACATCTAACCACGACCTACTAAAAAATGACAACCACTCCAAAATAAAACGAAAAACAGTTGAAATTAAGGCAACAACACGATAGAATACATTATATTATATATGAATAATATAGTGACGTACTGGCGAAGCAAGAAAGTACTTTCACGACAAATAAAATTATGCAAGGGACATGGTACATTAACTCTAACATAACAGATGAATGAGGTCTCCAGGAATTTGGCGCGCTAGTAAGATAAACGTTACAAATGTCTTTTTGCAAATCTGAATATTTTAAATGATCAGAGAAACACACTTTACAAATAGTATTTCACAAATCGCAATGCGCGGCTTTTCGAGAAACAGTGCCGTCACCACGCGTACTCCCTTGATGCTGTTATTAACAAAACCACCTGCTTCCTTGGAGGCGACCCCGGGCCGTCGCGGCAACGGCGGCGGTGGCTTCGGACAAGCTTCGGTTCGCCCGAAGTCCGCCGGGAATTCCCTCCTCCCGGCGACCAACTCCTCAATGCGCCCAAACCGTAACGGCGCCGATTGAATATCGCCAGGGCGTCCACCCACAGCCGGTAAGTCCGACAATGTCTCAAACGGGTATTCGGAATGCCACGACGCGTGATTGATGTTCGTCGGCATGTTCCTAGTCTTTTTCAGCTACCTTTCTCAACTTTGCGACGGATGATACCGTACAAGTACTCTGCCCACGTTAATATATAATACCAGGCGGGATTATGACACGAAGGCCAACTGGCCAACACGAATTTCCTGTCTTTTTGGTTTTTATCCAGTTCTGGTGAGCAAATTCTACTTCACTGAATCATCTGATTGGTAATCTTATAACAACACCTGGTCCACACTGCAGCCGGGCCACACTCAGTCCGAACTGCACACTAAACAACGACAATACTCTCTTCGACGCCAGCACTGCCCACACCCAAGAAAACACTCCAGTAGCCTCATCACGTCGAGAACTCTACTGCGCGCACTACTAAACCGTACAATCGCTCGCTCGGTGATCGCCCCCCCCCCGATTTGACCCGCTAGAGATATGAGTGCGGCCGGCGGCCGTTACTGCGCTGATCAACTTCTTAAATTTTAACCTTATAATAAGGTAATCAATGTAATCATTTTAATTACAGAAACCGTTCCTTTCTTTCGCAATATAATATATATACTATAATAAATATATAATATATATAAATATATATATATAATATATACATAAAAAATCAGTAGCAAAAAGGTAACAAGGAAAAGAAAATGTTTCCAAAAAGTAGAGAAGCGTATAAAATGTAAACTGCAGAAATATTTTACGCGATGACATAGAGGCCCAGCAAAAAATCACAAACAGATACAGATAAAAATATAACCACCGACTGACTTTTTTACGGCCGGTATGTCGTTAGAAAGCTGCCAGAACTTCACGCGTATCAAAAATTGAATCTTGGAACGCCACGAAAAGTGATAGAAAGCAGAACGCCACAAAAGAAGCCGGGCAGGACGGCGCGGGGAGCGGCGGCGGGAGCGTGGCACGTGCGGGGCGGAAAGCGGGCAGGGCGCCAGTGGAAGGGGCGGCGCAAAAACAATAAAACACCGGCGGAAGATAGATGCGTGGGCCGATGAGGCGCTGTGCGGGGGACAAAGCAAGGGGCGGGGCTCCGGATGCATGGCCCTGCAAGCTCAGCGTGGCCCGAGCCGGTGGCGCTTGGGGGCGGAGGCGAGGCACGAAGGACGTGCCAGCGCACAACAAGATGTGCCTCCAAGGGCGCCGCCGCAATCACTGCGTGCGAAGAATGTCAACGAATTCCATCCCCCCCGCCATCCCCCGCCCCCACGACGTCCCTCCGCGCGCCTTCGCTCTCATCCGCTGTCTCCCTCCGCCTCCCGCCTCGTCTCGTTCGCATTCCGCACCGCATGTTTGCGTCTCCTCTTGTCAGCGTCGCTCAGTCTCGTCTCGTCTCGTTTCGTTTCGTTTCGCGTCGCTCCATAACCTCCGCCCCGTCCCGTTTCGTCCCGCTCCGCCTTGGCTCGCTCGCATTTGCCCCGTGTCCGCGAGCAACGCAGCTCAAGCCGAGATCAGTCCCATGGAGAAAGACGCAACGCGTTGCGTTGCCCAGATTGTGGACCGGGAGGATTGTGGCCGAAGCGGGAGCGGCAGAGGAGGCGGCGCCGCCGGTGTGCAGGCGCGAGGCGGCGGTCGGCGCGTGTGAAGAGGCGAGCAAAGGGGGCGACAAGGGCCAAGTAGATGATGCGGTCGCTCTGGCGGCCACCGGAAGTCCCTCGCACTTCCGGTGCGGCGGGGGAAATTCCATTTATGCGGGTCTCAGAGTAAATGCTGTAAACGTCTAGGGAGTGCAACCACTTTTGACCCATGATCAGATAGTGCGAAATATCGTATAACGCAGTTACAACTAATGTGTCATTTGCCCGTGATGGTTAGGCAACGAGATATACCTACATGAAACATTCTTGACAGCGTCAGAATGTGACACGCTGAACACCTGAGAATACGTTGTTGCGTAACGATTAGGGGCAAACTATGTATGAGCTAACGCCTTTATATGCAATTTTCCATTACACGTTCATTCGCAAAGTGATCGTTTTCGTCCCGTGTGCATGATCTGGGAGTGTGTAATATTTATTCTGAAACATTTTGAAGTGGTGTCCTTAGCGTTAGGGTGAAAAACCATTCATTACAGTAGGACAAATTATTTAAGTGGAGCGTTTTTGCGG